TTCTTCCTGTTTTATTTCTAGGATAAATCCTCTGACTATAACTGACAAGTCTGATGCTTCAACTTCTATTGAACCACCAGTAAAAAGACATGCCATTTAAATATTTTACATAACAGATTAACGATTTAAAAGAAATATCAGCTCAAATAATTGTATACCTCAATCATTTTAGTTTAAATAGTATATAAGTGAAGATTAAACGAATCTTACTTATTCAAATAGGAACTAAAATTTGGAAAAACTTGATATATTTTACCTATTTACACGAATAATATTTAGTTGTAATTTATACGAATATTAATGAAAATAAAATTTAAAATGAATAATGTAATTCGATAATGAATTCTTCGAATATTATTTGATAGTACAAATTTGTCGCCCCCTCCACTCCCACCGGCCATCACTAATTTTATTGTTGGTCCAAAATAGGTATATGATTTACCTAAAAGCATCAATTCGCATATACCCACTCTTCTCTCTGGCACCGTACAACCACACCACCAGATGTTAAGAAATACAAAATATCTAATGTAAATATTTGGTGGGCACTGTTTATAACAGCTAGTGATTTAAACTTGAGGGTAAGTTGGCGTTTAAAATTTTTTTCATATTCAGATTGTAAAAATTTCGAGAATGGGACATTTCGGCTAAATGTCAATTCGACGATATCCGTTCCGGCGATACATCAACGTACTTTTCAGCGCGTGATCAAATTGACTGTGTACTCGTAACAATGAATTTATATCTATAATTTACAGCTATACGATAAGATAGTTACGATAGTCGATAATTTATGGTTGATCTGGCTGTAGACTAGTCAGATAATTTTTTATAATTATTAGTTACTCGACAATAGCCTAAAGGTGAAGTACGAATTGCCGTGTATAATAAAGTAGTTTGTGTGTAACCATAATCACGTGTTAAAAGGCAAATTAATATTAAAATTATATGTCAAAAGTAAAATCAAAAAGAAATAAAGATGTGATTACCGTGAATGGTTTTAATGGTTTTATGTATACATTCGATAAAATGTAGTGCGGATAAAACGAAACGGTTTCGACGATTTTTCCGGTTCGAATACATGTCGGTGTACAAGTTTTTTTAAATTTTCTGCTAAAAATCATTGTCGTGATTCTGAAGCGGCTAGAATAGACGCAGATACAGCTTTAACAAGTATCTATGCAGCTATGCGGCCATGAGGCTATGCGTCAACGAGCCATTTTAACAATGGAACCCACGTCTTGTGCTAACGGATTATCATATTCCACAAAGGTACTCATTTTTTTAAACTATTTGATTTATTTATGAATTAAAATAAATATGGTATTAATAAATTAAAATAAATATGGTATTTATGAATTAAAATAAATATGGTATTTATGAATTAAAATAAATATGGTATTTATGAATTAAAATAAATATGGTATTTATTTTATTATATAATACAATTTTACATTATATTACAATTTTTTTTTACTATTAATTTTCACCGAAACGGGCATCGTCGAATTGACATTTCACCGAAACGTTCTATATCCAAAAATTTCGTTTATAAACCACTAAATTGTACGCGTCATCGGTAACGCTATTATTAGTACCAATGTATCTATTAGCATTTATTGTATGGCGTCTCTTATTGTACCTTACCAAGTAATGCATTCTAATCACTTGGGTTTCACAGTTAGCACTTGAATGACTTTTATTAAGATATTAATATCATAAAAAATTACCGACGGCGTTTTTAAGACATACTAAAACGTATTGTACGAACGATCCCATGATATTATTATGATAATAGGCCAATGAAGAACGGGCTCTTGAATCTGTTTCTGTAGTACCTACGAGTTTCGTCGATTTTACTGGTACAAGTACTTAGTTTTAAAGCAACCAATTAATTCTGTCAATTAAAAATTTGTTCTAAGTTTAACAATACAAATCGTTAATAGATTAAATGCACAATAGACATACTATGGTTATTCATATTTTATATTTAAATGATCGCTACCTGGTTTATTCATTTGTAGCTTACCAATAAATACATCATTTTTGAAATATTGCACGTGTACATTTTGAATTTATCGTATACCCAACTATGTCCATCTTATTATCTCAAAAATGTTAACCTACGTTTTTATCATTATCATGTTGCCCACTCATCTGCAATATGTATAGATAACATGAATATTGCATCTTTTTTTTTTCCAATTAGCTCGTATATTAGGTACCTAAAAAATATTTTGTTAACATTTACAAATTCATTTTTAATTTATTGATCAAGTTAAGGAGTAACCAGGGCAGCGGATGGAACACGGTGGTCATATGTAAAAGAGTTTGATAGGTAGTGGATGGCGGAATCGATGGGAACGATGTAAAACGGCGCCCGGTAAATATGATGAAATCAATCATAAAAATACAGCGATACAAACACGTTATAGGCGCAATTATAATAATAAAATGGCTAACCGAGTACACGGTATTTAAACTGACGGTTGTTTTAATTTTCTTTATAATAATATTAACTTACCAGAAGGACGATAGAAGACTTGGCTTAGCATTATGTAGTACGTTTTGTTTATCCATTGTGTTATTAATTATTATAATTAAATCATAACTAGCTATTAGGTATTGGATGATGATCATTATTTATTATTATTATTATTACTATTTACATGTAGGTACGCTAACTTTATATATTTCCTTCTTAACATAATTATTGCCGTTTTATTATAATTTATTTACGGCAAGGCAATAGCGTTAAATTATTACAACACCCACCACACCATACGTGATGAAACGCCGGCGCTGAAAAATTTTTTAACATACATAACTTCTAGCCCAGTAGCATTCCGTTCTGTTATTGACCGAACAGAATTTCGTTAGGGTTAGGTATTGGTACAAACACTATTAATTCTCTTAAATTTATAATACTTTAAATTCGTCTACATGACCAACCAGCTATTCACATGACTTAAGATATTTGAACTATCCGCAAACTATGTGCATAAACCAAATCAATTTGCAAAAATGTACAAATCTTTTGAAGTAACGAGATTCATTAGCACCGAGGCATTAAATAATAAATAAATACTTTCTGGTCATTAAAGATGACGGCGCACAACTTAATTTTTCCACGCAAAATTACGTCTACGCAAAATATAGACACAAACTTATTCACACAAAATTGTTTTTCAAAAGTTTTTGAGTAATAATGATACAATTACAAATTATAAAATGTAGAGAATATTTTCAAGGGCTTATCAATTTTCTAAGAACAATTTTATTTGTAAGTCGAACATATGGTGGAATGATAAAATATTTATGTCAAATCATAAAAATTAATTTTGCATTCAATATTACAATGGATCAGAGAGAAACCAAATATTGCATTGGCATCCTTCTTATACAAGATACAATACCATAGATCCAGAACACCTTACAATAGAATTTACCGCAATACATCGATATCAAAGGGCAAATTAAATCCTAACATTGGTTTACCTAACATTAAATTTACACTTAAGTATTTACTGTATACAACAATTGGTAATATATTTAAAAACTTAAACACAACCAATTACTATGGGTACAACAACATTTATTAATCAAAGAAAAATAATGGATTTGAAATGAGATAGAAACCGGTTTTATGTAACTGTTTAAACTTATTAATTTTCATTCGATTATTGATTATTAAACAGTCAACAAGCATTTAATCACAAAAAAATTTGAATCTTGAGGGGCTCGTTTTATACAAATAAAAAATAATTGTTTTCGTTTTCATAATGATATTATATTCTATTAAAATTATAATTTTAAATACAAGTTAGCAACTGTTGTATGACGGGTATACTGATAAAAAAAAATAATAATTATAATAAATTTAAAACACAAATTAGCAACTGCTGTTTGTTGCGTATACTGATTAAAAAAATAATAATTATAAATGATAATAATTGATGTTAAATATTTTTAAATTGTTCAAATTACTTCTATTTTTATTAAAAATGTAGCATTTGTCTCAGTCAAAAAATACATCAATAAATTTATCTATACAAATTATAACATAAATTGAGCATATTTAATATTGAAGACAATAAAAAATATGGTCAATAAACTAAATCTAAAAAATAGATTTTATTATATTTCTCTTAATTTAATCAAATTGTAGTTAAATGAAATTTACCATTCAAATCAAATGATAACATACAATAAATATTATTTTTTCAATTTATTCAAAATGAATTGCCGAAATTGAAGAATTAACAGTTTAAAACCGATATTATTTTATGAAACATCTAATCAAAATAAGTTAAAATAAAAACAATTTTAAACTGATGAATTGATGAAATCTTTCTATCATGAACAATTTGTAGTTTCTCAGAATAATATCAACTTAAAATAATTAAAAATAAAAGCCGAACAATATATTGTTTAAATTTTTTATTATTTATTTTTTTTTGTTTTGCGAGAATATTTGTCACACAGCACGAAAGTGCAATCTTTCATAGCGTACACATAAATATCCTTATTAACAGTATCAAGTTTGTATGTTATGGACTATATCCATTTTTTTTATCCGATTATTACAAATACAAAAAAGTGGTTTTCGTCATAACAAAAAAATCAAACTTAACTGTAAAATAAAAATTGATTAAGACAACATATGAATCTCCTATATGAAAATAATGAAATGGTAAAGATCTCGCAATTTATTTCCGCTTGCGGTTTTCTCTCTAATATTAAAATTACAAATTAAAAAAAAAAATAAAAATAAACAAAAAAATTGTATGTACAAAAAATAAAATTACATTTATATTTTACAGGAGGTAATTTTCAGTTAAAACCTTAATTAAATAAAAAATCCAATGGCATAATTTAATATTATACTCCTGGAAAATTAAAATGTAATTTTAAAATTCATCATAATATATCAGTCTGTAAAGAAATATTTTTACGGTAAATTTTGTAAAGTTTTAGTAAAAATATAGGAATCTCTAATATAAAAATTAAAAATTTGAATCCAATATTTATTATTATTATTTTTTTTTTGTTGAGACAAAACCAATTTTCTACAGTTTTTCTGTACAAAATTACTTTTTAATCTATAACTTAAAAATTAACTTATTTGTATTTACAAATTTTAAAATTAATATTTTCGAGGTACGAAAAGAAAAAAAAAGATTCTGATGTGAATCTGAAAGAGATCACTCGTCATCGTCTTCATCATCATCATCTTCGTCACTTTCATCTTTTACTGCCATCATTTGTTGTTGTTGCTGTTGTTGTGCAAGTATTTGTTGTTGTTGTTGAACCAACATTTGATGTTGTTGTTGTTGTTGTAACAAGGTAGGCTTGCCCTTGTTTTTGTACTCGGTCATTTCCTGTTGAGCAATTTCAGAAATTATTAATATGGTTGTCCAAATATAATGTTCAATATATTTAATTTAAATGTAACATACCCTTTCGTATCTGGCTTTATCTTTTTCTGCCATAGCTTCATACTTCTGTTTCACTGTAATATCAGCATCAGACCATTTTTTACCCAATTCTTTGGCTACATCACCAACACCATACTCTGGGTTCACAGCCTTAACTTTTCCACGTTCATCATTACAGAACCAGAAGAAAGCAGACCTAAAAAAAAACAAAAATACATTATTTACAAATATTTAATCAATTATTTTAAAATAACAATAAAAAAATACTAACAAGGAGCGTTTTGGTGCATTAGGATCTTTGATTTGCTTCCTCTTCTTTCCACGCACTTTTTCACCCTTGGGTGGAATATAGCTTTGCATTTCAGTATCATATCTTAACTTGTCCTTATCAGCCATCTCGTGAAATCTTTTCTTTTCCTTTTCATTCATTGTCTAAAAAAAAAAAATGTATACATTAAGTTATGATAATAAATGTCTATATTTTATTTTATTAAAAACAATTAAACTATTTGTATAAATGTATGGTATTTACTTTTAATTATACACATAATTAATATATATATATATATATACGCAAATAATTCATTATTTAATTAGTTTACATTATTAATGAATGATTGATTTAAAATGAATTAATAAATTATCAAATTAAATTTTTTTGGGAACTCCCAACTTTTCAACACCCACCACCTACACATTGTTTAGGCACACTAAGCAAACAATTAATTTTTTTTGTTTAACATTCAAATTTAACTAGTGGGACACTGAATTAAAAACCGATTGCATTATTTTATGATCAATATAGTGGAGGCAGAATTTGTCAACAGAGGACGACCACATTTAAACTAATACGAATTTATACGAAAACATGACGTAAGTATAACTCAAACCACAAATTCAGAATGCGATATATGAGAAGAAAGGGGAACATGGCAACAGCAGCAACAGAATTCACAAGGTAAAATTTGTCAATATTATATAATTCTCCAACCCTCTGCGTATCTCCGCATCGACACCCAGCCATAGTCGATGTATCTTTGAAAAGAGCTTAATGTGCGAGAACCGCGTGCGCGTGTGTGTGCAGGCTGGCTATTACCAGCGCTGCGAGGGTGCGGCGAACACAAGGTAATGTTTAGAGTGAGAGGGGGGTTAATTTTAATAATTGCGCCAGCGCTCTTAGTTTTAAACTCCGCCGCCATGTTATCCCCACACCCTCTAGAAAACAACCCCAGCATTTTACACACAAAAAAATCGATGGCAGAACCCCCGAGCTCATTCCTACACACATACACACACAGCTTTCCTCCCCCTACACCCCCCTTGTTGTCGATACCAGCAGGCAAATAATGCGGCTACTACAATTCCTTCCAGTTTAATTTATTTTTTTAACCATTTTTAATAATAAATAATAACTTGCGTCATAACGTTTATTTAGGCGAATTCCACCAAAACAACAATAATAATATAATTCATTATTATTATTGCAACGATTATAGTATGATATACAGCAAAAATAAACGATTGAAAATCCTATCTTCCACGTTAGAACTGTATTACATTTTAAAGAAAACAAATTCGCCTTCGCCTCCGCCCCCGCATCCCCATCCACAATCACCTCCTTTACATTCCTTTTTTTCCCTTTTAACCCACCGCACGGCACTTTAATGTGTTCCGGTGTAACCAGGCCGGACGTTTCGACCGAAATGGACGAATAAAATAAAGTACCTGCTTAAACATTATTAATAATATAAACAAGCGGCCGTGTACAATTTTATACACATAACGTGCGCACGCGCTGGCGCGTTTTATACAGTAGTAAGAGGATTGCGATAGAGGTTGAGAAATAATATTTACACGGACAGGAAATTATTATAATATTGTTAAATAAATTATAAAATAGATTATTTTGTTTATGCATGAAAAAAAAAACACACACACAAGGCGGCGAGCAGCAACAATAACGCGCGAGACGGTTAGAATAATATTCTTTTTTTTCGTTCGATATTATTGTTGGCAGCAGTGGGTGCCGGTTAATCGTGCGTGTGCTCGTTCGTCGTTCGTGAGCGCACTATGGCGGTGGCGGAACGGGCGCGCGGGGGTAACGACGATCTAACGTACAAAAACTGGTTCCCTGGTATGTGCTGGATGACTGCTGCTGCTGCCGCCGCTGACCCATCCTCTCACCCCCTTAACGGAAAACCAGTCCTACGGAACCCCAGCCGGCCCGGTAACAACAGCAACCGCAGCACACACACGGTCGTAAAAATACGCGGTGCTGGCGCAACAAAAACCAGCGAGGCACGCACCATTTTGTTTCAACAACGCAAGAAAAATTAAAAACGTTTGATTTACAAAAAAATAAAAATGTTTCGATATCAACATCAACATCATGGCGGGCGCACCGATAATATTGGAGAAGAAGTGTTGCTAATAATGGAATAGAAACGGCAACGCAAAACTTGATAATAAATATAAAATAATATAATATAATATGTCGCACTGGACGATATATAATATTATTTCATAGTACACACGCAGCAGCGGTCTTGGATATTACGAAGTCGTTACAATAAAAGAATTTTGTACTGCTCCTATAGTAGTAGTGGAGTGAGCAGGTGGTGCTGTGTACGGCGCGTAATCGCTTTTTGTCTACTTATATATATATAAATATGTTGTTATGGGTGTTATAACGACTACGACCGAGTAATTTCCTCCTAAAAGAAACGGTTTTGGTTAAATTTTTTTTTTTTTGTTTACGGTTCGAATTTTAATGAATTCCAGCTGTCGACGCAAGTCCAGCAAACAGCGGACGGTATTTACGGGACATATTTGACTTTATAATTCGGAATAAAAAAAAGAGATGAAAAAATAAAATACAATCGATATATTATCTCCGCATACACTAGCCGCCGCCGTCGTACTGATAATAAAATCGCGACGGAAATTTGCCAAGAACAGATTCGGATAGTGAAAATTTACCGATTTTTTTTCTCACCATGACAGTTCGGTTTATAGTCGACGGTTCACAAGAGAGGCTCGATTTGGGTCCGAGAGAAAGGAAAATTACGGATTTTTTTTATTTTTGTCGGTCATCAGAAACGTGTAATACTATTATACGTCGTTGTCGGGAGACATACACAACAGAGCGCAGCGCGAAGACGAATCACATCAATTTTTTTTTTTTATTATTATTATACGCGAGCGACCAATTAGCCATCTTTATTGTGACTGTATCTAAGTGTTAAAATATAAACTTAAATGATTCATAAATTTTGTGATACTGACCTTCCACCTTTCGGCGCATTTCTTCGAGAACTCCGCGAAAATTACATTCTCGTCGGGGTGTTTCTTTTTATGCTCTTCGCGACACGTTTGTACGAAAAACGCGTACGCAGTCATACGACCTCTGGGTTTCGCATCTGTCCCTTTGCCTCTAGGCATTTTCCCTCGGTTCTGAAAAATAAATGGTTCATGTTATTATTATTTAAAACACACAAGAAAACACTCGTCGATGTCATTTCTATTCATACGGCAGAATTTCATTTTTAAATATACCCACGTGCGAACATCACACGTCAACAACAGGGAACAACCAAGATAGTTGACGCTCAGCTATTTTACAGACATTTGTTTTCATTTACCAGTGGTAAGAACTAAAGGAATCTACAAGTTAACCGCTCTAAATATAAGATTTAACAATATTACTGAAGTTATTACATATTGCGTATACTGTACACCTGAACTCGTGTGATTTGTTCTTACAATAATAAACATCTGTCTTTAATACAAGTTTGACATACATGTACATACCGATATTTATGTGTAAACTAAAATTATAATAGTTGTAAAATTTTATAATTTTGTAATATAATAAAATTAATTTAACCATTAATTTCTACAAAGCTGAACAGTTAAAATAAGACTAATTTAATATAAAATATTCAGAAGTGCTGTTAATGAATAACTCTCTCCACAAATTATTCACGTGCTTATTAAAATAATTTTTTTTTAACTATTACTTATTGTTTTAAATAATATTTAAATGATAGAAAAAAAAAATTAATACATTTCTGTTGTTTGAATCTAATAATGTACGTAAAAAAGTCGTTCAAAGGTTATTAATTCATAATAATTTGCAGCAATAATTATTACATAATGAATATAATCGTTCCATCATTAAATCATCTAATGTTGTTACCCAAAAATCGCTATCGACAAACTTATCAAATAAAAAAGGTGATCAATGGATTTCTCATTAAGATGTATTGTTATTATCAACTGTGTATCATTAATAAATACATCCTCATTACATTACTTACTTTATTCAAGTAATTTTGATTGTTTCGAAAATATGTTAATTTTTGTTAATTTAGTTGTAACTTATTGCTAAAAACAAGATATCCAATAAATTGAATAAGTTTTATAGCTAATAATAAATTTTCTCTTGTGTTCATACTTTAATAAGATCCAGAGTAAAATAAAAAAAAAGGTTTAACACTTTTAAGTTCAGAGTTAAATTCATAGAAATAATATTTACATAAGATACCGGTACAAAGAGGCATATAACCAAATCTAACGCAGACATGAATATGATACATTTCTAAAAAAAATATCAATAATAGTTCATATTTATTTGAAATAATTAACAATTATAAATTTCTAAACTAAGAAAAAGTGATTTCTGAAATTTTTAGTGATATAAATATATTGTTTGAAGGGCAATGAAATAGCACTAGAAAATTTAAATATAATTTGACATTAAGCAAGATTTCATTAGACAAACCAAAATAACGTTATAACAACTCATGTTGTAAAGATTATTAGTGAATATTTGATATTATTTAACTATTTTCATGAAAAAAACAATAAGTTTCTATTTTAAGAAAAATTGACCAACATTTAAGTTGAAGTATATTAATATACTTAAATAATAATTCAGATTATTAGATTAACATTCATATCGATAGAATTATAATTAAATATTCATGAAAAAGTTATACGTTTATCTTAAAATAGAATCTATTTTGATTCATATAATTTTGGGAATATCAAATAAAATGATGGCATACCACACTTTTCTAATACAAATAAATAATTGGCGTATGGAAATACCAAGATAATATGAATAGTTGAAAAATATATTTTTATGTTAAATGATGCTAACAATTTAGACATATTAAGAAATGTAAGTAATAATAGTTTAAAATAATGTAAAACACAACAGTTCTTTTATTTTCATTCATTAGTTTTCAACGCGTTATGTGATTTCGTATTGTTCTAAATAGCTAAGTGAAACAGTTTAATGTAAATCAACAATTATTGAAAGTGAAGGCTAATGACCTGGGCCAATCATATAAAATAAAAATCATTCTTCACATTACAACTACATAGACAATGTGCAAATAGTTTGATCAATGGTATATATATTTTATCAATGGTTTCCACAATTTTAAGATAATTCGAGAACAGTTAATCATTAAATTAAAACAACTGTAATAGTATATAAATATAATTATTTTATCTTTTTTCCGTCCTTAACTGAACTTAATAAGCAAAAATATAATCAATTATACCACTGTATTTGTTCGTAATAGATAAGATAATAAAGTATAACTTTTTAAATGATTAATTAGTCAAGACATAAAAAGCACGAACTCTGGCAAAATTCGATTAAACCGAAAAAAAACTGGTTTTACTTGGCAGTAAAATAATTATTATTAAAATAAAAAAATAACAGTAAAACCTGTAACTACTCTAACAAAAGAAACAGGTTTTTGTTTAATCCTTTCTCATATAGTAAACGACTTTTTAAGTTCTTAAATATTTTTACTAATTAATTTATAATGCAAAAACCAAGAGCAGAAAGTAATCAAAATTAAAAACAAACCTAAATAATCAATTGAACCTATTTAAAACTACTAATTTAACAAAAATAGATTTATGCATTATTTTTAGAAGTTAATAATGAAATTTTATTTTGGATGAAAACATACCACAAATAATTTAGATACACCGAATAATATTTACTATTTACAACGCGAAAGCAAACGAATAGAAGTGAATAATAAATTATTTTCTTGTAACTGCTGGACCAGAAATAATAATCCATGAAGGCTATAGAACCCTAAAAAACCTTGGCATTGGTCTGTCTTTGTGAATAATTAACATCTGTTATGATCTCATTGGTACCCAAAATATATTAACAATAATTTTATTAAAACTTTTAAAAATATATTAAAAAAAATTTTGATTAGCTAATGAATTTGTCTGAAACACATAGGTCGTGTCCTGGGAGTGAATACAACGAAAACCACCGTAAGAAACGAATCATAAATGTGTTTTCTAATAATCAGTGGAACGGCAACTAAAATTACATAATATTATTCTTCTTACTAAATATAAAAATAAGAAAGTCTATTTTAAGGAACAAAACTAACAACAAAAATATAGGACACTAACTCGTGGCTATTACCACTAGGTCGTTATCGGAATTCGTACATTTTTTGGAGTAGTAATACCTGGGGGGGTTTTGGTTGAATTGCCGACAGACCATAATATTTACAATTTATAATCGGCAAGTAATAAATGTGAAAAAAATTATAATCCGAACGTTGACCACTATCACAGTTTTACAAGAACAATGTTAAAACACAATCATAATAATAATAATAATAATAATAATAATAATATAATGTGGGTAACTCGCGCGTTGTTGTAAGGCCACATAACTTTCTATTTATCTACTCAATGACAAATTTATCAGTCGGAATTGCAGCAAAAAATGCGTACACTGTTCGACGCTTTTCGCGCGAGATTATGTGGAACAATAAAAACGTAGGCACAGCAAAATACCGACGTGATCGGATATAGGTAAATCTTAGGATTTAGGACGATTATGTATCGTTGCTGCCCACACGTTTTTAAACGTGACGAGACATAAAAAAAGTGTAAATTTAAGGACAACGAATAAAAAAAAAACATATCGTAACGGAAGGAGGTTAGGGTAGTAGAAAAACAAACGATGTGTGGACGACGACCGGACGTACACGTGAATGAAATCATCAAAATACATATCTCACAACATACGTAGAGATAAGGTGATGCCGCGCTACTCGTCTCGCGTCTCCGCGTCACGCGGTTAATGATAATTACCGCAACTAGCGTCGTCAGGACGTACACACACACATAAACACACAGCCGTTGTTATTGTTATTGTCATTTGAATAAAATTCCAACGGACCGAGATACCCAACAAACGCTAAAACCAAGACTATTAATACTACTACAATCGATCCAAACGAAAATCAAAAAAATGACGACGGCGGTGCTGCTGCCCAGATTATTGACTGGTACACGACAAACCGGCAAACGAAAACACGAAAAACCCTGACCGGAAGAGCGGGGACGCACGCAAACAATTCATATCCACTTATCTCAGAGCTCAGACGAACGCGCATTAACACGACGATATCGCACCATCGTAGTACAACACACGATGAATACGGTTAATTATGTACACAAACAATAATATGATAAATAATCGTGTGTGTCCCACGCGCGCGCGCGCGCTCGCGTTATCAGACACCACGCACACGACGTACGCGTACGTACGTGCATGGGGATAAACGCCAACGCCAACACGTATACAACACACGACCACCAAACAACAACAAACACCACCAATTACCATGATCGAGTTTGGCGACGGTACGTTGTGCACGTTTTGAATGTTATTGTCCATGGCTCCTGGGTACGACCACCATTGGGCCGCGGCGGCAGCGGCGATCCCGTAGCTGTCCGCGTAGTTGCCCATCGGGTTCCTGGAGCTGCTCGTGACCGTCGTCGAGACGTTGCTGTTGCTGTTGCTGGTCGACACGCCGCCGGTGTTGTTCAGCTGCTGTTGCTGTTGCTGCTGCAGCTGCTGGTGCTGCTGGTGGCTAAACGACGACGCCATCTTATAGAACTGCTGGGCCGCGGACACCGCGGCAGCCGCTTGCTGCTGCTGCTGCTGCGCGGCTGCCGCCACGGCGGCCAGTTGCTGCTGATGATGTTGGTTCAGCAAGTGCTGCTGCTGCTGCTGCTGTTGCTGTTGCTGCTGCTGCTGCTGTTGCATGTGCTGTTGCTGCTGCTGCTGTTCCTGGCTGTTGCCCCACCACAGATTGGCCGCGGCTGCCGCGTGGTCGTCCCGGTTGCCCCAGCCGACATTGTTGCCCGCGCGGTTCTCGGACATGCCGCCGGACTGCGAATGGTGCGGGTTTTTTTCACACGGAACACTGTACACGATCGGACACCAGACGTGACGCACAAACGCGCGAACACTGGGCACTGTGGTCGAGACGTGTGTTTGATACGCGGCGGGTGTCAGTAGTCAAATTATGTGTATATATTATATTGTTACGAACGCGGCGCACACGTTACGTGTTCGGCGTGTGCGTGTGTATGTATGTATATATTCGGTCGGCTCGCGTACGTACGTATGTGGTGTGCCGCCGAGTGCGTAGCGGGGCGAAATCGAATGTATATATGTGTGTGCACCACGCGAGTTATGTGCGGAAAAAAAAAACAAAGGGAACGACGGACGCGTGTGTGTAGTATATAATATCTCACTGTATACGCGCGGCCGACGGTTAAAACTGCGGTGGAAAAGGCGGAGAGAAGGAGAAAAAAATAACGAGGCAGACCTGCGTGTTGCCCGCCACTAGCCGAACGACGACGACGACGACGACGGCGACAGCGGATGTTACCCCCACCGCCCGTTTCGTAAAAACCCAATGGCGCGGCCGGCCCCTCCGACCATGGTTTAGCTACCGGTAACCGGCATTGCCAACCTCATCTCTAGAAACCGTGAGCGGCCGAACAAAGAACATTTATATGCGCGCGTACTGCCGGGACGGGACGGGTATGGCGGGCGGGCGGTGACCGGGCTGGCAGGCAAACGGAACGAGCGCGCGCGCGAGAGAGACAGAACGTGAGAGGGACAAACGTGGCGAGAGAAACGGAATAAAAACCGCGCTCGCTCGCGCCAAGGCCACCGGTCGTTCAAGGTTTCCGCAGTTCACCACCGCCGACGTAAAGCGCGCGCGGGCAGCAACGGCGTCGTCCTTTCCCTTTTTTTTCCCTCCAGCGGCACACACGCTCGCATGGATACGATAATATTCTCTCGGAGGAAACGCGATTGGTTGTTCGGCTGTTGATAGTGGCGAGGGGCACAGTTTTCTCAATAAAAGACGTTTTAAACGAAAAATTATTGTACCGCCGAGTAACGAAAAAACACCACCACCAACATTACCGTGTACACACTGTCGCCACCACCATCACTCGCACAGACAGATGAAATCGCTTTGTATCACATAATAATAATAATATACTATGTTGTATTCGAAAATACCTGCAACCGTGATATTATTACAAATAAATAACAAAACGTGCGCAAGATAAGAAAAAAAGGCGGGATTTGACTGGGAAATTATTTTTAATTTTTCTCGTACGTGGCCTGCCGATTTATCGTTTTTGAATACAACAATCGATACACGGTTACGGAACCGCAGCCACTCGGCATCGTTGTGTAAATGGTTATTCTCTTTGGATTTGTGCGGTACGCAAACTGGGAAACACGCGGTTCGGCGTCGAATTGGCGACTGCCGCCGATACATCGCGGGCGCCCGCCAGCGGAGAGTATACGTAGTACAAACGGTAATGGCTGCGCGACAGCGTCCTCTCGGTCAATAATAATAATATAGCGTAGGGATATTATGTGGTATAATATTTTGTGCGCGCGCGCGCCCCGTTGCCGCCGCCATTTATTCTTGACGAAAAAACACAAGATTTTCAAAATTCGAAAGATTTAATCTTGCCTCATTAACAAAATAATTTCATTTTAATGTTCGCGATAGATCGACCATATACAATGCTGCCGACCTTAATGAAAGAGACGCTACCGATTTCCTATGTATACGTTTATATGTAACATTTTACCAACAACAAAAACGATTAAAACGATTAACCGTTACGATAACAACCGGTAACGTTCGTCCTCGTCACAGAACACACACACCATATAATACGATGATTAAGTTTTGCGCGTGTACCTAAATAAAATCATTAGGGGGTTGTGAGAGTTGTTCGAATCCATACACAGGTTCGTTTGTTCGTTACCTACAGACAACAGTAACAAAAGAAACACCATTTGGACAAAGAAAAAACCCGACGACAAAAACGAAACACACTTTCAGATATTACAGTCAACCCTGATAAACGTTTGACAAAATCTGCGATTTTGGGTCACCCTGTATTGTAAAACAGCGTATAAAGGAGCACGCATAAGCACAACCCGGGCAAGCACCAGCATGTGCTGCCGCCGGGGATGCAAAAACTTTATTACTGCCTGGCCTGTGCGCGCCCTTTAATCATTGATTATAAATACACAACGACATTTAAATCAATGATTTCATGCACACAGCTGTACGAAATCCTAGATAATTCGTTGTTCTCAACCGACCGTAACACGAAATATTGATACTACGATATTAATTTACTTTATTAACGAATTGATAATTGTTTGCAACAATAATATAATTATAATAAATTACAAAATAATATAGGTAGTCAATATATTATTATTATTATTTTCATCCAATAAATATATATATATATAACTGTATTAAACTGAAATATTTATTAAAATAATGTTAATTCTAAATAATTATTTTAGTTACAATTGAGTGTTTTTAATCAAAACTGTAGAAATTACAAAACCAAATTAAATCAACTTTTTGATTACGTAGAACCAGTAGATATCACAAAATAAAAATTTATGTGAATAATATTTTCAAATATAATAATTCCATAAAAGCTATAACTAATAAGATTATCGAATAAATAGGTAATTAATAATTATGTAATTGAAATAAAATATACCAATGCATTTAAAAAGATTAGGTTAGTTTTATTGAAATTTGATGCATAGAAATTATAATTAAGTTTCTATAGTCAATATTTATAAATAATAGGCATACAATATTTAAGTCTACAATTAAATCGAAAAAATAACAACTTTAAAAGTTTATTTTTTTAAAATTACATGTATGAAAATACTTAAGTATCATGAACTAATGAATTATAATAAAAATTGTTATCAGTGAACTACTTATTAATCAAACGATAGTGAATCTATTTCTACAAAAAGACAACAGACATAGAAATTATGATTAACCAATGCCTATACAAGATAAAATGGTTGTAAAACGAAATACATGGGAATATTTCAAAAAAATAATTTTTTTTTTAGTAATACAAATTTTAATGCATAGGACAAAATTTAGATAATCCATTTATTAGTTATTTAATTATTTCATTAATTTATTTAGGATCATTAAAATTGCAATTCAAAAATACTTGGTTTGATAATGTTTAAGTAACTTAAAAATGTAATATTTCACTTCTCAGATACGTTTAACAGTATGTACATATTCGTATTATGTTTCAAACAACGAGTCAAATATCATAAATCATGATGGAACATTTTACAAGAAGAATAGTGTACTATTAACATACCCCCCTATCATTAAACTCTTATTTAATACTTAAAACTATTAATAGAAAACCTGTAGTAAATAACGTTGTAGTCTTTCACTAGAAATGCACAATAGTTCACATAAATAGGTATATATTTTTAGTTACTTAGTATTATATAATTCGTTGTAATTGTCACACACAATTTTGATTCATTTAATCGACATAGTGAACAATATTATGAATATTGTCGGTTGGGAAACTTTGGCAATAAATTTTAAAAAAGTATATATATATATCTAAAATATGTTACAATAATACTGATATTTGAGAAATTCAAAACGTGTTTAATAAATCTATAATATTTCTTGGTCAAAAAACAAATAATATTCCACAATAACTATCAACATTTTCTTAAAATGTAACCAAGTAAGTCAACAAACGGCAATTAGAGGGAAAAACACGTTACTATTGTAGATATTAAAAAGCTAATTTACATACTCAATTCTAAGATTTTCAGAAATTGACATTATAATATTATCTAGTGTATATATATATGATCATATATTACGACTTATTACATAATACAAAATCAATTTTTTTTTTAAATCAATCAACCCTTACTTAAATAGTTATTCTAGTAAATCAAGAATTGTTTATTCTTCGCTATACCGTGGCAGCCCAGGACGTACGAATAAATAAATTAGATAAGAAATTAAATTCATGATTATTTAACCTGTCAATAAAATAATGATATACTTAATAGATGATAGTAACGTTATGGTAAAATTAAATACTTACAAATTTGTCCTCTTCAGGTTATCAATAAAAAAAAAAAAAATTATAAATAAAAATATTTAGGCCTTGTGGACAGTGTAATGTTGTTATAAACGACAATAATAATTGTTTCTCAGACAACAATATTCCAAGAATCACTAATGACAGTATTATTTTAAATATAATAATATTATGTACCTACCAAATTTTGCTGAAAGTCTGAATGGTTGAATTGAAAACGATTTGACTCGAACACAAAATATCGCAATTCGTGTACAAGAATTTAAAAACTGTTAAACCCACGGAAATGATTTGTATTATTTGCTTATGGTGTGTAGCGGCGTCCCCATTAGTCGACGCCAACGTTTTGGTGGTAAGTAGTATCAATGGTTTCGTAATGTTTTGTGCTCGGTATGCTAACGCTATCTGCCCGACTGAAACGCACCTAACGTCCCCCTATCAATCTACCAACCGTCTTTTGACGGTTATGTAAACACGTCTTCCGCACAAATGGTATTTCCCTGTATTATAATGCTCAATACGATTAAACTATAAAATTTGTTGAACGTTATCCTATACAAAATTATTATTACATTGAACCAACTCTTGGACAAAAATATTGTAGTATGATAAATGATAAACATTATTGTCATATAACTGGCCAATCGACTGTTGATGAACGGTTTACGTCAACTGATGTACACACAAATAAAAATATTACCTGCCAACATCACACTGAGACCCGATAAAACCCATAAATGGTAAAGCACGATAAAGAGTCAACGACAAATATGGTTTATTAAAAACAGCAGATGTGATGACGTCGTAAACAAAAATAAGACCTTTTTTAAAGAAACAATAAGCACCCATACTACCTTCTTTCAACACTTAAACAGTTGTAGTACAATACAAATAAAACAGCATTTGTAAAAATAATATTATAAAAACCTTCTTGCTAATTAATATTACTTGACATATAAGGATAATGACAATAATAATAATGATATTAATACATTATTTGAAAGAACCTCTTAATTGATAATAATAACAGTAGTAATTATAGCGACCATAGCGGTTTAATTGTTGACGAGCGCGTTTATCGCAAACGTGTATAATAATATGGTAAAAATAGAAACTAAATTTTACTTACATAATAAATATTTTGATTTCAACTTCACTGAGAACTCTCCGAGATCAAGTTTGTTCTGTCCAGTCGACTTTGAAGATTATTAACCGTTGATATTATTCTGAAGCTAGAAACGAACAAAATGAAAAAGAGACATTAGACTGTAGCCAATAATATGTAAATTCGATTAACGATTGGTGTCGTCTGCATAAACAATGTTAATAACAGTAAAAATACAATTAACAAATCAACGACGACGACACGATGATAAAATATTCCAACGACCGTTTTTCGTGCGTCAATTATCATCGTCGTCGGTAACACCTTCCTCCATGCGCGTTCTCCCCTCTTCCCAGAAAAACAGAGGCGGCAGCGTGGACAGGTTTAACGCGCGTTTTCAGTTTCAAAATTACTCCATGACAACGATGAATAATAATAAAAATTCTTGGTCTACCTACCACCTACCTACGCGGTGACCACCCCCATAAAACACGATCGCAATCATATGCAATAATAATATATAATTTCGTCCGCCGAGAGCGTCATCATCAATCGGACGGCGGCAGAGTGCCAAACCCATGGCAGCATACGAGCAATGTAAAAAAGATAAATTATACGATAGATAACGCGTACGGCATACAATACGGTTGTT